AACCTTTTTTGGTTTTGAAGGCTTTTTACTTTTCTTTTCTCTCTTAGATCCGTTTGGTTGTGGTGAACTAGAACCTGTTGGGGGAGGTTCATTGTCCTCATCTGATGTACTCAGCACTCGTCTTACCCGCCTAAAAGAAAATATAATGTTTAGTAAACAAGCTCAACGTGAGATCAGTTCAGTACTGCACACTGATGTACCTTGATCTTCTGCTTTCATTCTGTGAAGAGGATCTTAGTCCAACATCTTCAGTCCAATCTGAGTATTCACTAGACTCACTGCAAGTAGATGAAAAATTCACTTGATAACAATAATCATTTGTGAAACCAGAAATGCCCAGCCTGGTCCAGGATACTGACCTTGAACTGCCAGTCCATTCCTCTTCTTCTTCTTCACTGTCTGTCGGTGTCAAAGCCACAATATCCTCCTCCCCGGACTCATCTATGTCCATTGCCAATGCAGAACGAGTTGCATAYGTAGAACGAGATGAAACCCTGTTAGCCACACGTCGAACACGCGATTCTCGTGACCTTGCACGTGCTGCTTGACGAGASGATGTCCTTCTCTGACTACTATGACCTTGTTGACCTCGTTCACCATGTGAAAGAGATTCCTGGATCTGCTTAGCCAAAATAAAACAGAAAATTAGATTATAAATGATAAAAATAGGAATATCTTTAAGAAACAACTGACACCCACCGACTGATTGACCAGTCTGACAGCCACAGTGGCCTGTGGACGTTTTTTCTTTTCTCTGAGATAATTAGTTAATTCATTTTTACCAAGAAACAGACGCCTTTCTTCATCAGACCTAGATAAAAAATGACATAGTTATCAGCTGAAACTAGGAGAATGAAGTTATTTTCAGTAAGTTTGTTGATACTAACTTTGATATATTTGACTTGATATCTGGGACTATTACTCTTCTTCTCCATAAAGCAATGTCTGACTCAGCAACATCTTCTATGACAGGTACATTGCCCTGCGCCTGTCTAACACCTTCTATGTCTCCACTTTGTCTCATCCCATAGTTTCTGCTGCCCCCAGGACTTTGAAGAGGAGGAGSTTGACCTTCAACTTGATTGGCTGGTGATCCTGGAACTGGATGCAAGRCAATCAGATGTTATTAGAAKAAAAGAGCATGATATTTTTACAAAACTGGCAATATCATGCAGCTGTACAGGATATGAAGACTGCCATACCTTGAATGGCAATTCTGCCTCTGTTTTCAGCTTGTTCTATTTCAGCCAAAAAAGGAGCATCTTCCAGTCTTGGCATTGGTGGTGGTGGTTGCGCATTTCGCACATTRCTTCCATGTCCTGGAACAAGTCTTTGATAATGAAGGGGATGAGGGTTTCCATCAACATCAACAAGAAATGGTGGAGGCATTAAATGGGGGGCTGTCTGTGTCTATAAAACAAASAAAMCAAGTTGAAGACCTCACAACACAAACTATTCAACCTTGCCTGTCTGCAAGAAATGTCTGTTTTACCTGTTCATCTAAGACATAATGATTGGCATCTCGAATAAGTGGYCTATAGTCAGTATGGAAAAACTGCTCGCTTGGAACCTAATGAAACAGATAACTCTTCTATTACAAAGTAACACGCATTGTTCTTAATGTGACAGGTGACTACAAAATAAAACAACATCTGTCTAGCATATGATGAGCTGTATTTACCTTGCTGAAAGSTTCACTGGAACCATAACCAAAAATGCAAAGATGACCATGACTATCTGTACAAGCAAACTGCAGACCATCAGGTGAAAACTTACAGTCAAACACRGCGCCATGTCCTTGACCTTCAATCTAAGTAAATAAATGCAATTAATCAAYTCATTATTCAGTCAATAAAACTATCACTTACTCAATCAAAGATAAATGTTTATAGTTTTGATAAATCACTGACACTGCCCAGCCTGCTCAAAGGAAATGAAAGTTACTTTTCTTACAGAGTTAAAAAAGCTTGTAATTTTTTTTCCTGTCCTTAAATCCCAAAGGATAACTAGTCCATCATGGCCTGAAACATCAATGAAACAATTAATATTTTACTATTTACTGAATGTTCTTGTCATAATGATATTACCTGCGCTAAGAAAGACAAAGGGATCAATAGGGTGGGCCTCTAGCACAAACATTTCATCATGGTGACCCTGTGAAGACAATTMAAATTTGACATTCAAAATAACAAATGAAACAATTCTTCTTAGTTTTTCTGTTTGACAATAAACATTTTGCCATATTTTCTCAAGCACCTCTTTTTTAATCTAATACCTCTTTTTTAAGCTAATACCTCTAATATATGGACTAGGTTCCCAGAGCAAGAGTTCCATACTTTGATGGTGTGATCATTGATTGCTGTAACAACATGATGATCCCAAAGATCCCAGGAAACCTTTAACAACAATATTGTAGTAGTTAATATTCTACAAAATATATTACTAAAACAAACACACTTCAAACAGTACCATGGTTACTCTTGGTTTGTTYACTCTGTTCAGATCATCAATTGAAGGTGAACTACAAGAAAAGTATAGCGCAACAAATGAATGTAAACAACTTTCTTTAGATTGATCCTAGGATTCCTGACAACTTTAAGGTATTATGGGTAACAATAATTTTTGGACATTGTGTTGCGTTTTATTTTTCATTTTGTTTATAGAAACTCTGTTTGATTTAAAGAGAAAAAAGGACTGTAAATTTCAGAATTCTAATTTTGTTTCAGTATTACTTTTATCCTTAATAACGTTGAGTTGAGGGTTAGGGTTTCTTTAATAAAAGGAAAGCATTTTCTTACCCATTCAAAGTTTTACTGATATCTAACAAGATGTTTTCCCACTTGGATCTCTTGAAGTACCAGATCCTTGCAGTTCCATCTTTAGATCCACTGAGAAATTTCTCTCCWTTGTGGCTGAACTGAATGCTGTCAACATGGTCCTAAAAACAAGTCATCCACACTTAAAATTCACAACCAGAAGTTCATGACTAAAAACTACAATTCATTATTTTTAACACATATTCATATCTGATTACAAACAAATCTGCATTGAGTAAAATTTCTAAACAAAAACTTACCACATGAACATCTAACTCAGCAATTTTTTCTGGAGGTCCTGGTGTTAACTGATAAAGTCGTATTATATGATCTGTGCTTCCAGCAACAAGAAAACTGCCACCTTACAAACAGAAAAAGATTTCATTTTCTAARCAAAACTAAAATGAATTGAAACAYATTTGAGACACATTATACAACTAGTACATCTTATGGTTTTACCTGGACTGAATGATGAGCACACCATCTGTGTYCCTGGTCTTGTTTTCTCCATAAATCTTACAGGAGTTGACCTATAGTTCATGAWGATGTACATAAGTTTTACAGTCTACAAATTGTTAATGTATTATAATTATAAAGCTGACGTTTGGAAATGTATAACAATTTGACTATAGAGTTAGAGTTGAAAATATCATAATAATTGAACATAAATTTTTACATTCTTACTCAAATGTCAAGTTTTGTGCCTCCCATTTCCAAAAACAAACTGTTCCATCTGCTCCGGTTGACATCAGGTATCTTGATAGACAAAAAGTRATTATTATAGCCAATCTCTATGAAAAATGTTATGAATACTGAGAAAAATACCTTGATTCCTTTAGTGGTGATGGACAAAACTGAAATAGGGATAATATTATTAGAAGAGAAAACCATTATATCACCACAAGRCAATATAAATAAAAGCAATTATAATAAATATTTGTATTTTTCTTTAGCTTGKCAGCTTTGAGACCTACATGTAACTTGAAGGAATCTGCAACACTATAAGAAATACTGTACCATGTGTCTCTAAGGTGGAATATTTGACTTTATAATGAGAGTAACTGGGTAATTCAATGTTATATATTTATAATAAAACAATGATGATACAAAAATAATTCAACGTACTGCAAGAGATGTTATCATCCCTGTATGCCCTTGTAGTATTGCCAYAGGATAAGTAGTTTTAAGTGACCATACACGAATAAGCTGGCAAAAATACATGTAAAATTAGTAAATAAATGCTGTACAAAATGACTACTAAATAAATATACCAGTGCATATTTTGTACTTGACTACGTTGCATAGCACTATCCACACTGAGCTGGCCAAGAAGTTTCCAATATGTTATGAAACTAAGTGAATTTACTCTCTCTATACATATATATTAATATATATATAATATCAAAGAGGCAAGATTTTGCTGTTACTCCGAGTTTCGTGCTACGCACTCATCAGACAGTATTTAATCAGTATTTAATATATTAATATATGGATCTGTGGATTCTATATTGTAGTTTAAAGCAGTTTATCATAATTATAATAAAAAAAATTTTGATGATGAGTTGGTGGCATTGTAAATACGGGATTTGACAGTCACCTTATCACAACTCCCTGCAGCGACTAAAGTGTTTTCACAATTAATAGCAATGTCTGTTATTTCAGCATTATGACCTCTTAGCGTAGCCAAAAGATGACCATCTCTAGTTGACCATATCTTAACAAGACTGTCATCAGCACCCTGTTCGAAAATTAATATAAACATTATGACTGGGGTATAAACAAACAAATCTGTTTCACATGAATTCAATGACTTTTCAAGGAAGGGAACAGACAAGTATAGTTAATACGAATGACTTACTGTAATGATGCAATGGCCTGTTCTATCAAATAATACACAGTAMACAGCTGAAAGATGTCCCAGAATCCTTCGGTGCTATAATACRTAAATGTATTATAATTGTAAAATATTAATTTAAGGCACTTGAAAACTCATCACTTTGATTCCTGACTTATGACTGTAACAACCACTCAATATCACATTTTATCAGTCTTSATACCATTTTAATTATAATAATCAATGCAGTTCAGTAGGTGAGTGCTCTTAGCCTTCTTGTCACCACATTTCAATACCAAGTCAATGCCAACAAATTCCCCTGAGAGATTACTACAGTACTGAGTACATACAAACTTTAATAAAACAAACAACTTACCATTGTTTGTTTACTGTACGTGTTTGGTTGTGCCAAATGACTCTTACAYCGAAAACCACTTATTTCTCTACTTAATATACTTTGACCTAAAAAGTGAATTCATAACAAAAATAAAGTTAAAAAACATAACTATTATACTTGTAAGCATCCTTAAACTGTAAATTAAAGCATAGTCAAATAGTGAGCAAAAACTAAGTCCYTTTCATGCTGTGACTGGTAACTTTTTTTATGGTGCCAATAGAAGGTGACCAGGATCTGTTAAAGTCCTGTGAAATGCACAGCCACTCAAAATCCACTTTGCAGAGTCTTGTAWTATGTACAATGTACACRTAATTTATCTAACAGAAAGCTCATGACGAAAGAAATAATTTCTAAGCAATATTAGTATTTGTGCAGAGGGTCTCTAAAAAATTTACCATTATAACTTTGGTACTTGGGTGAGGCTAAGCAGAAAGCTTGATCAGAATATAGGATGCATTCTAAGAACAGCATGACCAGTGCAGTATATTATGCAGTATATATGTCTTACCTAAGTTAGGGCATARTCGTTTTCCACTGGGTGGCAGCAATGGAGCATCATGGTTAGATGCAGCAAGAGAGTACATAGTGGTCTTGACAGTTTCTACATGAGGAAACAATTGAAATAAAATTGAGCTGCAAACTAATAAATTATTTATTCCAGACTACTAATTTGCGATACCRAAATAAGCATTGTTGCATGTTCAAAAACTGCTTTGTCTTAAAAAATATTTAGATAATTCTGAATTCCACTAATTCTAACACCATTCAACACTATTGTCAAAAGATAATAAGAAATATTTTCATTGTGTTTGTAGTGAAATAGAAATAGAAAACAGACTTAAAACTACTTTTACCAATTATTAAATGATCCTTTTTTAAAAACTACTTAAAAGTAGTTAGGATCCTTAATAATAATTTATAAAATTGTTGATATATAATGAGCTCTCTGATTGTCTGACGACCGTGTTTATATCAGAGGACAGAGACATGTTTTACCAGCAAAATTTGTTTTTCGCTTGAAAAATGCAGAAAAATTTTCTAAAAGAACTATAAAACAGCAGCGTTTGTCTCTGTCCTGATATAAACATGGTGGGAGTTGAAAAGCACTTGAGAAGCAAGAGAAACACGAGCATAAGCTTGCTTCTCTCTTGTTTTTCAACTCCCACCGTATTCATATCAGAGGACAGAGACACACGCACACCATTTTATATTTCTTAAATATATACAATATAAGTAGAATGAAGTAAAAAAACAAGAAATTTTATATTAATATTAATATATAATGGCCAACTGTGTATGAAAGRAAACATATTTTAAAAACAAAACTTGCATGTAAAAATATTTAAAAAATATTTTATGACTATATTACATGGAGATAATATCATTTATCGCAATATATAGTTATATTATTCTGATAGCTCTATCAAAAATATTTTCTTAAAATCTATAGCATTTTAAGCTTAACTATACTGGATCAATAAGCATGTTTGAGTATTGAATGGAGGAGTACAAGAAGTCAGAAAATACTAAATTAAATAACAAACCTGAGCCAGTTCTCAATAATGAATTCCTTCCAGTACAAAGCAAGGACTGGATTCCCTTCACACCAGAAGGAATACATTTTTCTAACAGTGGACCAAGACGACAGCAAATTTGAACTAAATAGTCGTCGGGAATATGTGTGTTCTGTAAAACCTGTACGTACAAAAGAATCATAAMATAGCCACTTTATAKAAATGCATTTTATTATCATAGAAAAGTGAGGGCGAAAGGACAAGAGCAAGGTAAAAAATTTGCTACGCGTTTCTCTCTTGGATWGGTTTGCATATGCTAATTTGCCCACGCTATTGACACATCAGAATATTTAATGACAGATAAGGGCTTGTGATGGAAACCGCCTTGCAATCTGATTGGTTTACACGATRGAGGGTCATCAACTCATCTCAAACACAAAGGGTTTTGTGGCATGCGTGATGCGATCCATGTCACCAACAGTATTGATGATCACAAGATGCTAACAGAGAAAAGCACTGTTCTGCCGTGGCTGGCAAAAAAACTACATCGTTCAAAAACTCCACTACAAATTTGTAGCCCTGCGCACTCGAACATGAACTGYATGCGATTTTGAAAACGTGATCCATTCACAATAAAAAAACTAAATGTCAAAATTTGTGTCTTTCCGAGTTAGTATAGGATGCTTAMAGAAAGAGGGGGGAAAGTGGGTGTTTTTACCATATCTTGGTACGTTTGAGGATGGTAGTTGCCTCTCCAGTCCAAACGTTGACACAAGAGCTGTAGAGGAACCAACCAAATACAATCAGTCATAAACATTACATGCATATGATTCTATTGTTCACAGGTTCATGGAAAGCGCATCTGCTCATAGTTATTTGCTACTGAGACTGTAAAATCCCCAAGTACACCGACATGTGCATAGGAAGGGCCTGTCTAATGGTATTTAGAGTTTAGGGGTACTCACTCTCTGGTCCGCCAATTCCTCTAACAAAACCTATGACACAGAACACAACATTTTAGAGTCATAATCAACCGAGAAACGAATCAAAATGTCTTACTTACCTTGGCTGTTCGTTGACATGGACCATTCGCTAAGAACTTGGCAACAAGGAAATACAATTCTGAGGAGAATTGGACAAAAATCGAGGCGTGTTTTGGACTAGGGGAACGGCCTGAAATGAAGCCAAATTCGAACTCACCTCCTCGRACCATATCTTGGTCAGAATCCATCTTTGAACACAACTTGTTATTTATTGGACTTTAGGGGAACGTCTGGTATCCATAGGAATAGTACACAATGATTTTTAGGATCTTTAGGTTTACAAATGTTTGAGACGGTTACAGCGTGACATGGCGGCAAACAGACCTAAAGTCCTCTTTGTCATGACATCATTGGATGAAAAMAAATTATCTATGCAACATATTTACAACAGAGACGCTGATTGGATGGTGTATTTTCTTTCTCTTGTATTTTTATTTATTTTCAACTTCAAGAAAAATGTATCTATCTTTGGAAATTGACTATATCCATAGTATTTTTGTTCAATATACGCCAAAGGGATGTAACTTCTACTATGAAGCTTATATATAGCAAAATCATTCTTTAATGACCTCAACCAATCAAATACTTCTATGTAATAAGGTTGTTTACGACGATTGGGGGATTCAAGATCAGGCGCATGCTCATTCATATTTTTTTGAACAGCGACTTGTTATTTCGACTCATTTCTTTCGATTTTTTCACGATGTCGTGGTTCAAGAACAAGCAAAATACTAGTTGTTTAAGAAATTTATGTAGTAATGTTCTTAAAGCCGGTGAAATCCCAAGACACGTAGCCATTATTATGGACGGTAACAGGAGGTTTGCCAAGAAAGTGAATTGTGAAAGATCCGAAGGCCACGAAAAGGGTTTTGAAAAACTGACCGAAGTAGGTTATTTGACTTATCTAATTTCTGCTTTTAAATYACTACTATAACAGTTGTAATTATGGAGAGCTTTGGCCTATATTGTAAGACTGYGATCACTGATCGACTCGTAAGCTTAATCACTGCAAAATAAGGCTTACGTTCACCACTACAACCTTGAAATCTGTTCTTTAAAACAGAATAACTTAACACAACTTTGGGAGTTCCTTTATATTTAAGCCATGATAGGAAACTTGCAAAATTAACCTGGAGGAAGTAACAAGCTTACCACAGGAGTGGTGAAAGTAATACCCCGAGATACCGAACTTCCCTAAGGGGTTTTATGAATATATTAACGTTATAAGCTTAAGTAAGTTAAGAATAAAACCTATATTTTAATATATTTCAATATGATACTGATTGCTTTATATSGATTAAAAGCCATAGAAAAAACCTATTAAAAGCCTGCTGCTTTTTTAGGGTGCAGGAAGCCCAAAGTAGCAACAACTTTGACACAAGAGAGTATGCCCAATGTAATGAATCTGTCCGTTGATTGGTTCAACAGTCAGTTGCAAATCAGTGATTTTTTACCACACTTGTGTAAATTCTCTCGCGCTGATTGGCTGATAAGAGCGTGTCAATACAATGACATGCACACTGTGCTGACACCATTACATTTCTCGCGTGTACTCAGTCAAATTGTTTTCACTCATGTGGTAAACAACGACTTGCACATGGTTTTGAGTTGTATTTATATTTATATATTGGAGATATCCTTTGTATTCTCACCTTATGTCTCCTTGGTTTGATGCTAATACAAAGTATATTTATTTATACATTAGGCCACGAAACAGAATAGACAATTTGCGGACACAGTTTTGTTCAGCAAAGCATGTTGGCTGTATGTCTGCTACAACAGTCCTCCTAAGCAGACAAAGAAAATAAAAAAAACTCCTTTTAGGGGGGAATTTTAGGGTCTATAATAAGTATGAGGACTGCAACTACCATCATGCTTTGCTGCACAAAATGGCATAGCTAAACATTGCCTATTTTGTTGTATATAYATGCGCACAATGATATACCTTTGATTTATATGCACAATTATTATACATTACATTATAATGTGAGAAAAAAGCATAATTATTTGGTCTAACTGAGAATTAAAAAAAAACATCTGTACAGTCTCAGCAATTGAAATGAATTAGTCCATGTAGACACAGAAATACTCTTATTCCTAATGTAGAACACTTATTGTGAAGGGAGATCACTCCTACTTTGTGTCTTGCCAATGGACACACAATTTGTTAAATGAGATACATTTCATTTGTTTACCAAAGCAATTAATTGAATGTTGTTTGTTGGCTAGGTATTAGAATGGTGTTTTGAGCTAAGTATACCAGAAGTAACAGTATATGCATTCAGCATTGAGAACTTCAAACGTTCTAAGGATGAGGTGGACGGACTCATGGCATTAGCCCAGCAGAAGTTTGAAAGACTCTTAGAGGAGAGGTGAGAAACTATACAACCAGCATAGAAGTTTTATCTATGGTGGTAGTGGACATTTAATAACGTCATCCAAGTTCTGCAAGTAACCAATTCACTGATTGTGTCTGTATCATATATTATTTGTAGAGAGATGAGTCTGTATCATATATTATTTGTAGAGAGATGAGTCTGTATCATATATTATTTGTAGAGAGATTCTGTATCCTATATTATTTGTAGAGAGATGAGTCTGTATCCTATATTATTTGTAGAGAGATGATGGACAAACACGGTGTATGTGTACGTGGCATAGGAGACCTGTCAATGCTTCCACAAGATTTACAAAAATCTATAGCAAAGGCCGTTAACTTCTCCAAGCATAACTCAAAGTAAGTGTGTTTGTTGTTTGTTTAATAACTTTGAATTAATTAATACCTGTAKTAAATTAATGTTTTTTTCAGAGCAATATTAAATGTTTGTATGGCATACACATCAAGGCATGAAATAACACAAGCTGTGAAGCAAGTTGCCAAAGGAGTTGAAGAAGGATTCTTGAAACCAACGTTAGTTRATAGTCAATGTACAGTGTTTTGTGCAACAACACATGATAGGCGCTTTTTCATGTCTGCTAATCCAGTCATTTTAAACCATTTAATATTGCTAATATTGCTTAYATGAATTTTTTATTCCATTTTAACTTTGCAAGCGGCATGATTAGTGCAATGTTTGAGGCAATCAAAAAAATTKTTGGAATTCATTTCTCTGTACTTTTGGGTCCATTTTGTACGCTGTTATTTCCCTGTGTGCTATATTATATATCTGTTATGCCATCATAATAGTTACTATGTCTTATAAGCTTATAGCTTATGCTCTCTGTTATTAGCTCAGTACATAATTGATAGCAAGTGCATAGAAACTGGGCATGTATCAAAACATTTGCTATTTGAAATACTGTTCCATGATGCCCTACCTTTTTCTATTCAAAAAGGAATGAATCTGTTGTTTATGTTTTTCAGAGACGTCAGCGAGTCACTGCTAGAAAAATGCCTCTACACTAATAGTTCTCCTCATCCAGATTTATTGATAAGAACATCAGGAGAAGTGCGTTTCAGTGATTTTCTACTTTGGCAGGTAAATAGTTTGATGCATCTTTTTAAAATATATTGTCCAGWAGATGATATATTGTATTGTGATTTTTGAGAGAATTAAAGTAAAGAGTTTTCATGTGTTCAAGTTCTGTTTCTTTTGTTTCAGTGCTCCTATTCTTGTTTATCATTCAAAAAGGTTTTATGGCCAGAGTTTTCAGTATGGGATTTTTACTCCTGTATTCTCTCATTTCAGTGGAACTATGCAAATTTACAAGTATGTGATTTGATTACATGAAGTTACATTTATCATTGGGTCAATCTCCTAAACCTTAGAAAATAACTTAAATACATGTGAAAAACTACAACAAAATGATTGTTTTCAAGCCGTACAATTAATTAACTTTATTGAGCAGCCTTATGTTGCAGTTTAGGAGATTTGACCAGAAGCCTTGACCCCGGGGGGGGGAAGGGGGTACTCGACCCCGTTTTGAATAGGTACGTGACGCCAGCGGTCTAAATCCCTGACCCTGTTTAAGACACTAACAAGTAAAAATCCATACCCTGTTCAAGACAAATCGGAAAAATAAGGAATAGCTATCTACGCCGCAACCATCAAAACTGCAATTATACCGACATCCATCAAAGACAATAAGAAGTTTTTGATAACATATTAATTCTGGGACAGTGAAACGGTATTTCTCACTATTTCTACGGTGTTATGAAAATATTACCTTGTCCAGGACACACACAAAAATTATATCAGTCTCTTTTATCTAAATTGTAGAGCCTGTTTAAGACAATTTCGGGTGAAATGTATACCCTGTCTAAGACAGCAAGGCCAAAAACCATACCCTGGTCAGCGGCACATCCCCGTATAGCAAATTTATGGGAGTTAGATAAATATAACATTATTATTAATGAACCACATTTTTTTTAAAGGAAGCAAGGAAAGAAGTTATCAACCAACAAGTAAAAGCTGAACTTGAGTCAGACTTGAATTGCGTTCTTCATCAGTTTGATAATTTGTTGATTTCCAATGGTAACCATAGCAATGGTTCARGACAAATKGTAGACCTTGAAAGAAAACCAGTATTAAGAGAAAAATTGGAAGCATACAGAGATGCCAGACAGCAACGAATCGGTGCATTTCTAGATAATATAGAATTGCAAAGAACTGAATTCTTAGAATCATTGTGTAGTGATTCATCGTGACACAAGTAAGGGTTTTTCTATGGGATCTGTATATCATTATCAATTCGAATGAATTATGATTGCTTTAAAAGTTTATAATGGCACTATGCTGACAGGAGTGTGTGTTTCATTTATAATAGTGAAAGTGTCTGCTTRTGGCCAGATATGAGACTGCATTAATGTGAATAAGTTTTGTGCAAATTATTAGTTCAAAGGACAATGAAAATATAGGATTAAATCCAATTTAGGTTTATTTTTTTGACATTTTGACTTTTATTTTGACAAACACTATATAGCCTTCACAGCATGTGTTTCCAAACGTTTCTRCCGGAGACAAATGCCTTTCAGGGTAACCCAATTAGTTAGGTACAACTCTACTTGTTTGAAATATATCAAGACGTTTTTAAACGCACTGATAATGTAATTACTCCTGATATCGAAAAAAACTATGGAAAACTTTTGTCTTTTCACGAATGACTGAACTTTATGCACGGCGCGTCGTGGCTTGATTCCTTTGTGTGTGACTAACGAGGCAAAACCTGTAAGTCCGGCTATTCCAAGATGTGATGTGACGTCATATTGAGACTTTTAGTCGATCTAGCGAAAATTACGCTTCTGCCGACACAAARTAAGAAAGAAAAAATTATGGGAATTTTTCAATGTCCGTTTTATACTGCGTATTTTTGTGTACGGCCTGTCTTTATTATAATGGACACATCATCAGTTAAACAATTAGTACTAATTGTTAATAGTCTTGAATAGACTCCAGGAAACGCAGGAATTAGCATAAGTTATTGCTATGAATATATGGACCGCATGGCACAAAAAAGAACATTAAATGGAAATGATGAGAARTAGATATATTCGAAAATTAAATTTCAGACTTCGCTGGGATTCGAACCCAGGACCGATGGTCTACCAGCTGMTCTACAAGTTTAGACTSAGAACAGGTTGGATTGAAATAGATGTTAGCTCGCGGCAATTGAAATGTAATCATATGAATAGAGTGAAGTCATTTAACCCGTGAAACGAAATTTGAAAATTAAAGTGTGTTATTCAAAGACACAAGAAAACAATGCAACTAGAGCGTAAGGTGTATTAGTGTAATATTTATTTCACGGTTTTTGTTTACTTCACTCTATGTAGACCGCGTGACACAYAACATCTAAGTTATTACCATATTTTGTACGGTGCAAGTTTAACAGTTGTAATAAATGTGTTCRCCAAATAACAATCATTGCTCTAAAAAGTAGTGTACTAATAAGACGTTTGTATGTAAGGAACCCTCCCTTTTCCTTAATGATGAATCCTGGATACAGAATCATATATATGATAAACTACTCATTACCAGGAAAGTATATTTCAGCTTATTCAGTAGCATTAAAATTGAATTTGTTGCCATTATTTTGGTCTCTAAGACCTTTCAGGTTTTCAATCCAAGTATCATGAAACATTTGATATTGACTAATCAAGTCTTCTAGCTTGTCCATCTGTGATGCAGTTGCATTGTCAGCCATCTGTAATTTTGCAGATTCATCAGTTGAACTAAAATGGACTTTGGGTCCAAATGGCAGCTTGTAGTTTACTGTAATAAAAAGATCACAACTGGTTGAGTGAAAGTAATAATGTGCGCTTTATCAAYAAATGCTGGGTCTATCTGAATGTTGTAAAAGTTTTTGGCACCATTTGATCCAGCWGATGGGTGCAGGCCCAATGAGACCCTGTTCCTTTAACATGCTCCCCTATTTTGTGTCTTTTTTTGCGAAAATCATGGAGTTGCATTATGAGTCAACATCCTTTCTGTGACAACATGATCTTTTTGGTCGTAACTCTTTTTACTTTCTGAGTGGCTCATTCGTGCAGTAAGTAAGCAGAGGCACGTAAGCCGGTGTGAAAAATCAGCGAACGGAAAAGCAAGTGGGCGAAGAAAGTGTGAAATAATCGTGTCAMCTTCATCCCTGTTGTTTACAAGATTTATTGGAAAAAATAAAGATTCTTACGTCGTCGTCTGAATGCAAACTCCCAAATCATTCCCGCCACAAATAGCACTCCAACGGTGCCGAGTCCAGCGTACATAATACGAGTAAATGTCCATTCCTGATAAAAGAGGGCTTCCGCTGCTTTAAGTTGCTGGCTGACGTCATCAGTTGGATTCTATATAATATRTATCACTAGGTTAATTGTTAGGAGAGTGCACGTGAAACGCGTACATCTATCCAATAATCACAGAAAATGTTTTAACAGCATGAACTTCCGACATCCGTTATCATTCTGTTTTCACTTAAAAATAATATTTCTGATTATGATTGTTTTACTGTTGAAAAATAATAAATAATTGCGATGGCAGAAACAACAATGACCTTTAATGGAGTAAGATGCTCAGCAATACTCTCGAAGATTTCATGTGGGTAGTCAGCTATGTACTGCCKCATACAGTTTTCTAAGTGAGAAGAGTTCTTTGCAAGAACAGTACCAAATATGATTGGATGTTCGATATACTTGTCCACTCTGATTGGTTTATCTCTTATGAACTTTAAAAAGTGTGTAATGACGTAGTTATCTACCAGGGCACCATCGATGTCATTTGTAAGAAGATCTTTAGTGATTTGCATGACATTGGAATACACTAAAAACATGAAACTGTTTTAGGATAGATACTGGGATAATAACATCAGTTTTGTCAGGGAATTTGGACAGAATCTTTGGGTTCAACAAACCTTTCATATCAGCATTCATGCTCACTCCCAAACGAAATTCCTCGCTACCATTAACAGCTCCAATCTAAATGAAACAAACCAGCGATATACGTTTTAAAAAACTGACGTAATGAATCTACTCGTATTGCCAGGCCTACTCCGAGCCAAGACGTCGCCAAGGGGCCACGCCCGGTTATCCATCAATGGCCGTGGTGACGCGATTTAATGGCTTGGAGTAGGCCCTTTAYTAATGCCTTTATTAGATAGGAGTAGGCCTTATTACCTTAGAGCCGTGAATTTTGAAATTCGGATAAGTACTGGCTGATAGTGACGCTGTGACGAGGGCAGTGAATATAGACACAATAATTACACCGGTTAAAATCCAAACAATACAAAACACTCGCCCTAAAGAACATCAGTATATTATAATCAGTATATTATTAAAATCTTGATGACATTGATGGATTATATTACAGTAATGCGGAATCAATCGTTATATCGATATATGCATGGTTTCCACCGCAATCTGTGTTGTTCAAAGCATGGAGTTAGCGCAATCTGTGTTGTTCAAAGCATGGAGTTAGCGCAATCTGTGTTGTTCAAAGCATGGAGTTAGCGCAATCTGTGTGATTCAGGTAAATCACATAGTTTGAGTTGGTGTCCCTGTGGTGATTGAAGTCAAGAAAGTGAATTTAATCATAATATGGATGGTAAATAGTGTGGATTACCTAGAGCAGACTTGGGTGAGCGATCACCGTATCCAACGGTGGTCATAGTAACCAGCGCCCACCAAAATCCTTCCCACGTTCCTCTGAGAAACGGTGGCGGAAATTCTTTTGGATTCTGACTGTGGTCCTAGGTATAAATCAAAATAATAGCATCATTGTAGATCGTTTTGTGCCTTTCGATCATATTTCAGCTTACCAGAAACCAAATGATAATTCCTGACAGAGACGCTGTTACTAGAATAAATACCAACATGGGCCAAGCACTTATTATGGTCGTTACCAAGAAGTGTGTACGTGTTGATGACTGATGGTCGTGAACCAGTAGAATTACACCTGGTACACGCACCAATGGCAAGAAAGCATGATCCCTGAAAGAGTTTCTACAAACATAACAATTTGTATGAAAAAAATTATATACTATATTATATACTATACTTGGCGGACTCAAGGTTCTTACCTGAAACCATCGTAACCAAAGAGAGGAAATGTTATATCAAAATTATTCTCGGTAAATGACTCCTCCCCATGTCTAACTGACCGAAGAAGTTTACCAAATTGGACTGTTGTGTTTGAATGACAGCAGGATTTCAATATCTGCAGTATAGATAATATGATTAGGAAAACAAGTGTTATAATTCGCCAAAATCGGATAGAGGATCAGTATATCACTTTTACAATATACAATACAATACTTTTAAAAAACAATTACCTGTGTCAAGATTCCAGGAAACATGCCAGTAACAGTAAAGCCAGCCTTATTGTTGTAATTGGATTGGTACATCATTACGTATGGTGCATAAGGATGCCAAGCTATTGATAATGGCTTCCCTGACGAACACCTTTCATCTAGTGAAAATTGATCATGTGTTGCGTTGTGCTTTTTAGGTTTGGCATTGCCCATAACCATGGCATCCAGTGGAATGTGAAAAGAGTTGGAGGTATGATTTTTTCCTTTCCAGTATGGCAAAAAGATGGATTCAGTTAAATGAACGCTCGCCACCAAACAAATTATTTTGAAAGTTGCCATTTTGGTCCAGATCTAATAAAAAATAAATAAATTCATTCAAGTGAAGACAACATAAGGAATAGAAAAGAAAATTTGATAAAAGAGTTCTTGTCATTTGGGTCCAAATATATGTTGATTATTCAATGTACCGGTTCACTAACCCCACTTAAGTCTAGCTCGTAAAATGGTTAACATTTGTTTACACCGCGTATATTTTGTCAAACACCCTAGTTTCCATCAAAAATAGTACAGTGTACTTATCTAATAACTGGCCATCAGTGTTTTGTCTAAAAAGCTTATAAATTTAATATGATGACCAGTTTCATCATAGGCAATTTACCGTCTTCTGGTTTTCGGTGTCAGTGAGGCCTCTCGAAATCGCCGCTGCCAACAATTCCTGCGTAGTTGAAGAAATTGCGTCTTTTATCGACAAAGTTCTGCGACAAGAGAATTGGACACTTAAAATGGATGCGATAGCCGATCTAAGAAAGCTGAAATGTAGAAGATAAATAGGTTGGCTCTTTGGAGGAAGCTACTGGTCTATACTGCGAGTAGTACGAGTAAAGTCTCTGCCATTATGGATCCATATGTGTATCGCCTTTTTATACCATGGCAGTTTGCTAGTCATTTATAGTTGCGATAGCAACAGCCTCGAAAGGTTTGTATTTTATTAAGTGAGCAACTCTGATATTTGTCGATTTTGTTTGTCAAGTACCTTAGTACTATAGTAACTATTCCCAAGGGAACTACACCAAAGAAGTTCATATCAATGTCCTTACACATTGACCGAGCCCTTTGAAATGGTTGTTGAAAAGAAGAAATAAGACTTCCAAGAAGCCGTGTTTCGTTTATAGTAGAAGTTATTTCGAAAATCTAGACAACTATTGAGTGATGTTGATATGTAAGAAATGCAAACGCAGCCATCCCATATGTCATTGCGACCATCAAGGACTTGGTATAGGGATTAAGAAAATACAAAGAAAAGCGCAGCGGATTCATGGATAAAAAAGAATTTCGGGACCAGATCAGAATTGCAGAAAGAGCGTGAAAAAAGAAGTGACGAACCTGCATAGTAGGAAGAAGTGATCCTCTGAAGTGTTTGCGTGCTTTGTGCATTCAGGCACAGCTTCATGTCAGTATATTGATTAAAAATATGAAAACCCCATGAAAACAAATGGATTCCTAGCATTTTGTTAACAATTACCTGAATGGCGCCAATGTCGATCAGTATGTCATTGCTATTCACAAGACGGCAGCACAATATTACATATTAACTATGACACACGTTACTTAAACAAATCAATCGTCTTATCAGCCAAGTAGTCACTTGTTGGTTATTCAATGAAACTCTTGTATTGTGCTTGTGTTAGAAAAGTATTTCAAAGGACAGGAAATGGAGTCCTATCTCCCACGAAACCATTAGTAGGTTATTTTGAAATTGACCGCAGTCCTTACTAAATTATACTATTCAAAGCGATGGTGTCTCCTGTACGKTTATTTCTGGGAGTGACACCCAAAAAAGTTCTATAGTGAAACACTTGATTTAATGCAGCATGAGAAATAAATTGGAGATATAAAAACGTTCATTAGAAAGAGCTATGGAAATAGTGTTTTTGTATCCGATTGTCAATTCACGTTTAATCAAACTGACAACCGCATGCCATCCGGTATAATACAAAACATGAGAAAACGTATTTCAGCAACATTGTATAGTCCACAAGTGTTGAGAGTACTCCCAAAACAATATAATTGAAAAACAAATACTAACTTGCTGCTGTTGGARATGTTCAAGATCYTTGTCACKAACGATCTTGTGKGGGATTATTSATTGTGAACCATTTTTATATATCCAGTTAACCAATCGGAAGACAAAGTCGTCATTYTGGATCCGGAACAAGTAACATTTTTTAAAAATATGTACATAGAAGCAGTGATACGAGGAGACATCGCGTGGGCTTTATCAATATATTTTCATTTGGATTAGTTGTTGACAAGGTCATTTCAAAGACAGGTTGACTTAATTCAACTAATTACATTCTATAAGAGAGTGTAACAACCTCATAGTTCTCCGGCTTACAAAGATTTATAGTCATCCACTGAAGTTCAAAAGCGTTTCAAGTGTGCAATAAGTAATTGACAATAGAAACGTCGGTCGTACGACGTCTAATCTTGTAGTGTATAAGTACTCTTCGTTTTGGAATCCATATATGAAATCGGAGAATCTTGCTTTCTGAAGGRAGCCAGGATCCTGATATGGTATCAGTCTATCAGTGCTAAGGCCCGTTTACACTTGYGATTTTTGCAGAGCGATTCTTGTTGCGATCGTCGCGCGATCATCGCCTGAGTTTCGAACATGCTTGAAAATTGGCTGCAACTTCGCGGCGATTTTACATCGCCGCAACAATCGCAACAATCTGTTTTGACGATTTTTGTTGCGCGATAGCAAAGTGGCGATTATCGCGCTGCAAAAATCCCAAGTGTAAACGCGCATTTATGATTACGTGAACGTTGTAAGCCCTCCATTTGGATCGCAGACTTTCTTCAAATATCTTAAACAGGAATAAGAGTGGCAAGAAAAATAATTCCCATGAAAAGAGTAAAATTGATAAAAGGTGTCAAGAAACCCCAAACAGGCCATAATGCATAGGTACAGCTGAAAATAAACGGATATATGTCTCTAGTATTTGTCAAGTATATTTAATTAACACACACAATAGATATAAACTGCATTTCAAGCCTACAATGTTATACATTCAACTTGTGCTATCAAAGGTTCAAGTGTCTCTAGACTCAAATTGCACAGAAAAACTCTGACGTGGCTTTCACATAGGTATCACATACCACAGGAATCCCACTATTCTAGGGTTCCAGCTCATGTGAAGCATTAACATTCATTTTAAATAAAAACTGCTAGAGTACAAACATTAAATGTGTGCAATACTTTCCACTTACTACTATAAAATAGTGTTAATTAAACAATAGAAAACAATAGAATTAGCATAATTTAGCAGTATTTAGTGGTATTTATGTTGYGCAGTTCATATTTATATATCATGTCACTAATACTAAAATTTGCAAGTTATTATTGTTGTATATATTTATCTAGATACTAGCACTTACAATTACTATATCATTATAACTTATTATGTAGAGTGAACGCACTTAATCAGTGCAACTGTACAAAATCTAAGTAGTACTAATTTGTACTAAAAGTGGACCTGAAGCAAGACAGTATTGAATGCTTCAATTGTATCAATTCAATTTAATTTGCGTATCGCATGCACGATATACTAAATGCAACTTAACATCACTATTTAGTTTGTGCAGTTGCACGGATTAAGTTCGATCACTCTAATATATTAGATATTGGAAACATGGTTACTTGTGTAAACATGGACAGTATAGTACCTTTGGGTTCCTAAGGAATAGACTTGGAAACTTACCATATAAATCCAATGATAAATGTGACTGTTGCAATAGGAATAAGGAATGGATGGTGTTTATCCCAATCATTCATTTTTTTTATGTAACTACACCAAACAATGAGATATATTCCAATAACAATGTTGACTCCAATTAATAAGGCTCCTATCCCAAGCCATAATCTAAAAGGAAACAAAAAAAATGGACAGATAATTGAGAGGATTAGTGTGTATAAACAAATCAATCTGCCCCTAGCCTAGGCTCCTATCCTACCAACCCAACTTGAGAAAGGGTGTTCTGCTAGGACCTCAAAATCCTGACACTATCCTGGGCCGAAAATTTTGATATTTCATAACCTGCCCCTGACTAAAGCTCAGAATTGTACACCCTATTTTGCTGACTATTTTGGGATGCTATTTTTGATTCACTATAAGTTATGTTTCCTTATATTGTTTGTCATTGATTTTTGGTTCTTTATTGACAAAGTCCACCATGGATGGCATGAAATAATAATTTTAATTTTTTGTAAATGACATAATGATGCAGTTAGTGTGTTCAGCTCAATTCTTTTGTTGATTTGCAGTCCTACCCCCTCCTATTCCCCCATCTTCTTTCTATTTTAAAAAGAAACTTGACGAAYATATRTCGGTACAGAAGCTACAATAATTGACAGGATACATAAACAACATACAGACAGTCTATTCACAAGTCCATCCAAATGTTATACCTTGAKAACGACCACGGATACTGTACCTGAGAATTCGAGGATCAATCCTCAATGCAATGTAGAAATCAGTGTAGTAAAATACGCATATAGMAGCAACCATCCAAAAGATCGAGTGCCCATTTAGCCGGTATTTTTGTTGAGGGTGATGTTGCTGCAAGATGTCTCTTCCTCCAGTCTGAATATGTTCTGATATTTTTAATAAAAAAGAGTAGTTTTCAACTAAACAGCTACTCACGAAACCTTTCACATTGCATCATGAGCAAGGTTTGATCAGTATAGGACAAATATTTCATTGKTCACATAACTATATTATACAAAAAKAAACAGTYTAACAGATTTGTGAATTATTGCTACTGGTAAAGCTTGTTGACGTTCATTGCTAGGGCTATGATGATAAAATGGTGTAAGATTGAGTAGGAGATATTGGGAGTGATGATTACCATAAGCTTGCATGTGAAATACAGTTGGGATATCACCATAATCCCCAAGGAATATCACAATGAGAGGCAGTGTTTGAGGTCATATAAGTTAACTTGTTCCTTGTCTACACGAGCAAGGAAATCTTTATAACAAAAAATTGTTAGGAACACTTGCTGATCGTCTACACGAGCAATGAATATTTCAAGGATACTTATAAAGAAAAAAATTGCTTGTGTAAACGTTGCTCCGATTGCAAACTGTCCATAAACTCAACCCTAGGTCCTTACCGCTATAAAAAGCACCTTTGTGAGATACATGTCTACAAAATCCGGAAAAGAAATATTGCTTTTTTGTAGAAAAATGACATCTTCTTGTTTTTTGTAAAATGTAATAAGAATATTTTTTAATTCCTGTCAGCTACTCCCGGTTTATGTGAATGTTAGAGTGGACACTCTGATCTGAATTTAAGCATCAAAATTTACACAGAGATAATGCAAACCCTTACAAAATTGTACATAAAGACTAACCGTCAAGTTCTGCATTATATTCTCCTTTACGATGTTTTACAAATGCTGAGTAAAAGCTTTCTTGCAAATCCTTTCTGGACGACATCTCTTGAATTACCGCTGTGCACCGTTCTCAGAAGGCGCAGGGAATATGACCGACCGAGATGACCCTGGAGACGAAGTTGATATTCCCGAAGATTTCTCCACAGGGAGCCCAAGCAGTGACTTTGAATAAAATTTTAATTAAAAAAATGGTCTACTTTTATTTTATTCAGTGTCACAATGCATTATAAATGGGTTTAAAAAAAATATCCCCTACCTATATATATATAGTGCCAAGGGAGGAGACTGCGCTCGAAATTCTCCTAAAAATGAGCCAAACACGATCAACAAAAATCCTTTTTTTGCACCGAAATTAAATCAAAAGGAAATATTATCTAAGACAGCATATGTAAATCAACGTTTTTTACCTTATTTTGGACGAGAGGCATCGATAGAAACACTTTTTTGGGCAAAAAAAATCCAAAAAAGTGTCCCCCAAAATATCCCAAACCCATCCGTGTCGATGGTATCCTGAGGCCAATTGCGCGCGCAAAACTGAAAACTAGACAAATTTGGAGACTATGGGGGAGCCACTCGGGACAGTTTCACCTGTCACGGAGCACATCGCAACTCTGCTTGCATCGGGTTCTTTTGAGTTTCTTACAGATAACTGCATACTTCAGATTACTATATTTGAAAATTTCAGAAGCGAGAACTTTCAAAATTATAACATGGACTTGTTTTTCGAAATCATACGGTATGGGTATGATCTGTATTTATCGACTGAACACTGCAAAAACCGAGCAGCTTTTTTCAAGAGCTTTAACTAGTTCATACGTTATTTAACTATGCTATTTTTGTCAAAAAAACTTGAACATTAAATGTCATCAGGGTTAGATCGTTGAGATCGTTGAGTTTTACCTTTACAAAAAAAAAATAACTAGTTTACTAGTTACATTATCGCACTAGGTAGACAATAGTACTGTACCGCACACGGTACACTATCCCACTACGATAGACTACGATACTGTACCGCACAAGGTATATAATCGTAATAGGCAGACTATGATACTGTAT